AGCTGAACCAACAATTTGCCTCTTTTTGAGGCACCTTTTCTTAGATCTGTTGACGTCGACAGCGCTGCGCTTTGGTCGTGGGCGGCCTAACTTCCCCTAAAATTGTGAGCAAAGCAATGTAAACAACTAAATGTACCCTCTTGTCCTCTATATCTACTGATCTAACCATTAGATAGATATACAGCATAATACGGTCCATGCGTCCCATTGTTGACATTGTCCACAGTTAGTTTTAGAGCAAGTTAGGCCGTTCGCGGCCAGAGGGCAGCGTGGTCGACGCCATTAGATCTAAGTTTAGACACCTCAAAAAGAGGCAATTTGATGTTTAATGTTACAGTAAGATAATAAAAGTTGCAAATGTAATAAATAATGATGATAATTGCGCAATTTATCACATCTAATGGTGTCAATCCTGACGGCCTTCAAAAAGTGAAAATTTGTGGGCAAGCATCAGTTACAGTTAAAATATTTTTCAATTTGTTACTGACGCTACCGCCTTCGCAAGCAAGTGTCGAACTTTAGTTATAAGAAAGCGAATGAAGAACAGAATACGAAGAATTCGGTATAATTCTAGACTTACTTGCATCTTGTATGCCCGTCCCCAAGTTATTATCTGCTGTGCTTGTCCCTTAGTCTTCTGTCAAAAGTCCCTAATTAACTTGCGAGCCTCCTCCAGGTTCTCTACGTCAGAACTTGCAAATTCGCCGCTGTCACACTCGATGGGTGATTGCTCGATGTTCAGCACTGCCCTTGCCGATCCCAAACTGCTTATCTGCAATAAAAAATCCTTGGTAGCATAGGCAATGCAATCAGTTGCTTAAGTTAATAGAGTCAGCAATTTATTGGTGTATTCTACCAAACAGTCCGACGTTAGTGTTTTGAAATCTATTTCCTATTCCGAATGCTTGCTGGTTGGCAAACAACAACAAAGACTCTATTAACAATCGTTTACCGTGTATGGCAATGGAGTTTTGTTCTCGGCATTATGAAACGCTTATATAATTCGATAAAGCTTGGAAAATATATTGTAAAAGGCGATGCGAGTGGTAGGCGTCCTGACAGTCGCCATGTGAGAAAACGAAAGTAATCCGCTTTGAAGGCGATTTGGGAGCTAGACAATGAATTGGTGTTCTGGTATTATTCACTGGTACGTTACTTTTGTCACGTCCCTGTGCTAAAAAAATTTCCGTGGCGTACTGTACAGTACAAAGTATATACACTTAGAATTATTTGGGATGTGCTGCCGAACCATAGGACGTTGTGGGGACACCATTGTTTTTAGGGAAATATTAACGTAGCATTTTGGCTTAAGCTGCAATAAATGAAAAATTCTAATTATTAATACACCTAGAATCTGGTTGTAAATAATTTTATTTGAATCATTTATAATTTCATCGATGTATTTTTGTACACACATTTTTCCTTAATACTGAGTTGCACAATAAATTATTTGTTCTGTTAATTAGTGAGTTTATTTTGGTGGCCAGTAACCTTCCCTACAACGGAATATCATCAACTTGATCTTTCATGAATTGCTTAAAGGAATAAATACTGGTTGATTTCCATTAACTTCAATAAACGTGCTGTTTTGTTTCTTCTATTCTATTTTATTGGCCAGACATTGCTAGCAGAAATGGAAGTTTGCAAGGACCTAGGTTTTTATATTTCTTCCGTTCTCTCGTGTTTCATCACATCAGTACGTCAATAAAGCTGAAAGCTTTCTTTTCATATTTAAAAAAGTGTTATACACACCAACCACTGAAACTTCTGCCTATTAGTATAAGACTTATATTAGTCATGATTGGAATAAATTTCGCAGTTTAATCCTTGAAATTGGTGCGTGATCGTAATCTTATTGAATCAGTTTAACATGCTGCAACCAGACTTCCGTATAGTGCTGTCAGGACTACATATTTTTACTTTTATTTCAAGTGATTAGACTTAAGCATAGTCATGGTGTTACTGTATTTCGAGCATTGCAGAAATTGCACTCCATTGAATTATGGGCAAGATTTTCATTATAAACGTTTTCATTGCTCCATTAGAGAAAAACCTAGCACAACCCAGTTTTCCAGTTATGGAATTCGTTACCTAAGTAGTATGTTCTACTTCAATCAATCCCTTTAAAAGTTTGGATTGTTCAATGCCTACTTTTCTGTAACATTATTTTTAGTCACATTGTCTATGCGTACCTTCTATTTTTATTGTTTCTTGAGTTTTATAGTTTCTCTTGTGTGATCATAAAAATATAGAGCTCGTTTTACTTAATATACCTACCAAGTTAAAAGATGAAGTATGAGGAGTAAGGGTTGATATCATCACTTTTTTCTTAGTAATTCATAAACACGGCTGTACATTTTCCAGCGATTCAGTTATTAAATTGTAATTTAGCGTTATTTTTTCGTTCGTTCCGGATAAACGCCATAATGAGCGAATTTTCAGTTAATTAAATTCCCAACCCTCCACTGCGTGCAGTTTACCTTACGATCCATTCCGAGTTAATTAAAGAGGAATATAATGAAATTTTTAAAATATTTCTGCCTCGCCTTAGGAGATGCCGCGTTTTTTTGCCGGGATGTCGCTCAGCTTGAGGTGTTGCTCGAAGAAGAAAGAGGCCGGCGCCCCAGACAGGATTTTATTAACTCCTAATAATTCCAGGACGTCGGCGTCGTTCACTGCAATCTGAAAACATGCAGTGCTTCGCCGGATAGGTAGAAATTTAAAAGAAATAATTTGGAAAATAAAAACCTCAAGCTGGAGCATCATTCGATTTTAGAAATAAAACTGTAGGTGCAATAACTTTATTTTCCAAAAATCAGATGTGTCTTGAATATTTAGATATACATTTTTGGCTTTATTTAAAAAAAAAACTGTACTTTCTATAGAGATATGACAAAATTTTATTATGGGAAGTTGTTAAGGAGTTACAGGGTGTTTCCGTCATAATGTTATTAATTTTAAAATAAATAAAAAAATATATTTGCAAATCATTATGTAAACCCTTTAAACCCCGTTCCTGACTGCTGCCCTACAAAGATTTATCGAGAGTGAATCTTGCCCTATCGTACTGCTCAGTCACTAACTTTAATACATATTCTTAACGTTTTCACTGTTTTATAATTGAGTATGAGTTTTTAGTATTACAGATGTTCAAGTCGGTAATTATTCAGTTTGTGGTACGTATATATACCTTATTGTGTAACTTAGTAATTTTCAAAGATGTACCTACTTATTTAAAAGAACAAATACGGCTAAAAAACACTCACTCATTCGTCCATAAAGTTATTTTCTGTCTTTATTAAACCTTCCGAAAATTTATGACATTATGACTGAAACACCCTGTAAATCATTTCAAAATCAAATCAAAGATCCTCTAATATACATTTGCCTCCTATCACTGACCCTTGTCTCCATCATTGATCTTTGCCCCTTATCATGGACCTTTGTTTTTGTTATTGCCCTTTGAAAAAATCAATGTCGCCTAAGGGTTAATATATCCGAGTATCAAAGGTATTGTAATATACAGGGTGTTTCTTAAGAACGTGCTAACATTTAAGGAGGTTATTCTTGGGTCCATTTTAAGAAAAAAAATTATGAACATATGTCCTAAAAATCTTAACTTTTGAACTACAGGGTGCTAAAATTTTATGAAAAAACATTTTTTTATGATAACTTTGGTATTACCCTAGATATTTTTTCAAATTTGGTACACGCCTTCTATTTATCGAGATGCATTTTCTGATGTACAAATATTTTTATTATTTTTGCCAGTGGCGTCTGTACAGGTTTTGTATTGAATATTTTTGAAGACAAATATGTTACGCCACTGCTTTTTCTTAAAGTAAAAATCATTTTTGAAATCCTCATTCCTTTCTGAGCAAATGTGGTGTCTTGAATTTTTTTCGTTTGACGTACGGTTTTCGCACAAAAAAATAAATATTTTTTTTAAGAGTATTTAAATGTACATATATTATATCTAAATAGGTATTTAGAAATTTTTAAAGTATTTTGATGTTTTTAAAAATTTAAGTCACTTTGACAGAGTTTAATTTTTGTGTTTCCGTTTCTATGTATTTAGACATATTTGATTGTTTTAAAATTTCTAAAGAATTCTAAAGTTGATTCGATGATTAAGTTTTCTTGAAAGAATATTTCTGAACATTGTACCAAAAGTCAAAAAGATTCTAGTAAAATACCAGGTTTAAAAGTAAAAAAGGCACTGAATTTTATAAAATTTTCAGTAGATTTGCTTTTTGTAGTCGCACTATTGCTACGTTCTTGCTTAAATCCAGTGGCGTACAAGCGTTTTTTCAAAAATTAGTAACGGTGACATATTTGCATACCCACCTAAATCTCCGATGTTCTGTATCGTCCTAAACCTTTGGAAAAGGATGTAGTTATACGCGGGAGCGCAAATGGCTCCATCTGTCGTGCTGACTCCCAAACGACAGATTTGACAGCCATTTGCGCTCCCGCGTACAATGTATTTCCTTGTCGTGATGATACGACGCAAAACAGCTTGATCGTTCGTCGGTTGTCTCACCTATGGCACACTGATGAGGACTACTAAGTCAGAAACCGGTCTGTGCCTGGTGGGTTAAACTGACGAACGACTCTAGCTGTTGCACTAGGTGTTGCGAGTATAATTCAACGCCGGTAGGGGCATATAGCCCTCGGAGTAGTTGTTTCTTGCAACACTGACAATTAAAAGGGTCTAGTTGACTTTATTTGGAAAAAAAGCAGTACTAATTTAAGAGGGTTTGAACGATCCAAGACTAATGCTGGAACTACTACAGGATTCCAAATTATTAACGTTTAATTTTTTTTCCCTCTTAATTAACACTTTGTATCTCCAGTCCTCCGTCGTCATATATTTTTCAAACATTCCTAAACATCTAAAATTAATATTTCAAGCACTGTACAAGCAACCCCGCCCTGTTAATCTAGATTTAATGCTATTAGCACTGCAGGAAAAGGGGCAAAATTAGCGAGCGAAGAAAATTCACATAGGGTCGTCGTATTATTTATTGAATTTCCAAAAGGTCACAGAGGTAATAATTTAAAGAGTTCCTGGGGCCGGGGCGGTGTTAATATGATGGCTGAATGCAAGAGGTCCCTGGGGAAGGGGAGCGGTGTGGACGGCTCCACGGGTGGCGGCCACGTATCTATTAAAAAATAAACTCGCTCTGAGTGCTGCTATAAATTATCGTGGTTAAATTGTTTTAACAGGAGAAATTAATTGTCTGCAAACGCGTTCTCTTAATGGGGGGCTCTAATATTCGTTTCTGTGAAGGCAAATTCAAAATTAATTCGTTTTGCTCCGAATGCCACTTGGTTTCAACGCGTTTATAAATATGATCAAGAGAACGAACAAAATAAACAAAAAGTATGTAACTGCATCAGTAATTATTAGCAAGAGGCATTGTTTAAAAAGGCTCAGAAAAAGTTGAAAACATAAAATAACAAATAGTCCAACCAAATTTCACTTGGAGAAAAAAAAATTGTTACCGAGACTTTTATAAGTAGAAATGGTAAAAGGGCTTATAATAAACCTAAAAGAAATAAATCCGTGAGCAGGGGCGGCGGAGGGTTGATTTGGGGGGTTGAAAAGTTATGAAAAATTGTATGATTGGGGTTTCTGGCGAAAGTTGACGTCAAACAAAAAAGTATCCAATACCATAGTTGTAGATCATGAAAAAATCTACAACTTTTGTAGAGGTCACTTTTTAACATACCCTCAAAATTTCCGAGAAAATTGCGAAAAACAGGCTTTTCTCTGATTTTTCGTTTTTTATTTATTTTCCGCAAAAATAATTTAAATTTGATGAAGCTGGGTGAAAGTATACCTTTCTGTGTCTTAAATAACCTCAAATTTTTTTAGTTAAAAAAATCAAGAAGTTTCTGAGATATTAATTTTTTTGGCCTGAAACACTTTTTTTTCAAAGAATAATTCTACTTAAAAAAATCGTCGTACAGGGTTCTGTCGGTAATAATTTTTTTTCGTTTTAACATATACTTTTTGGTAAAATAAAAAATCTGTAATAACACTTCAAAAACATACTCAAAAATGCAAAAAAGTAAAAAATGACTTGCAACAATTTTTTCAGTTATTGCTTATAATTTGTTTAAATTAAAAAACATTAAAAAACTGATTACACCATTCAACTATAAACTATAAACAACTATAAAACTAAACAACTATAAACGTCTTAAGTCGAATTACAAATGCTCAAATGATAAATTATCTCTGGACGATTTGAAAACGAATTTTAAATAAATTGCATATTTACAATGCCACTTTTTTCGATCTATCATTAAAAATTTTTCCTGAGTACGGCTCTGAACGCTTTCAAAATACCTGTATCTATTGAAGGGGAGAGAGAGAGAGAGACAGAGAGAGAGACAGAGACAGAGAGAGACAGAGACAGAGAAAGAGGAGAGGATAAAAGTCAATACAGCACAAAATATCCAACAATTTTTTTTATCCATAATTTAAAAAGTTGAACCTAATAAAAAAATAATACAAATTTATGAAATATTTTATTATTTCTAATTAGTATTGCTAATAGTAGTACAAAATTGTTGGATATTTTGTGCGGTATTGACTTTTATACTGTTATGACTTTATCCAATAGATATTTTGAAAGCGTTCAAAGCTGTACAGTGGCATTGTAAATATGTAATTTATTTTAAAATTCGTTTTCAAATAAAGCCAGAAAAAATTAAACAATTTTGCAAAATTTCGGGTTTTTCCGGATATCTCCGGAACTACCCGGAATTTTAAAACTTTCTAAACAGCATATTGTTAGGTATAAAAAAACAAACTTTTTTCTAATCTGAGCCACCCCATATCTCTTACCGTTTCCTAGATCCTAATGCCTATCCCATCCTTATATTGGACACACTGTATATCTATGAATTCATCAAACTTTAAAAAAAATATGTACACTAATTGATCCTACGGAAAAAAAATATTATTTATTTTATTTATTCACTATTCGACTTATGTTTATAGCAATACTGTACAAAAAATAGTTTTGGGTCAAACAATGAGACAGTTTTTTTTTGTATTTTTTCCGTACAATTGAATGGTGTAATCAGTTTTTATTTTTTTTTAAATTTAAACAAATTATCAACAATTACTGAAAAATTCATTGCTGCAAGTCACTTTTTACTTTTTTGCATTTTTGAACATGTTTTTGAAATGTGATTACAAATTTTGTTTTTTTTCATCAAAAAGTATGTCAAAACGAAAAAATGATTACCGGTAGAAGTCTGTACGATGATTTTTCTAAGTAGATTTTTTCTTCAGTGTTTCAGGCCGAAAAAATTAATATCTCAGAAACTTCTTGATTTTTTTATCTAAAAAAATTTGAGGTTATTTAAGACAGAGAAAGGTATACTTTCACCAAGTTTCGTCAAAATTAAATTATTTTTGCGGAAATGAGAAATAAAAAACGAAAAATCAGAAAAAAACATGTTTTTCGCATTTTTTTCGGAAATTTTGAGGTTATGTTAAAAATTACCTCTACAAAAGTTGTAGATTTTTGCATGATCTACAGCTTTTGTATTGGATACTTTTTTGTGTGACGTCAACTTTCGCCAGAAATCTCAATGATACAATTTTTCATAACTTTTCCACCCCCCAATTCAACCCTCCGCCGCCCCTGCTCACGCATTTTTTTTTTTTTCGTTTATTATAAGCCCCTTTACCATTTCCACTTATAAAAGTCCAGGTAACAATTTTCTTTTTTTTCTTTATTAAGATCTCCTAATAAAATGTGTTGCATTAAAAATGAGCTATATTCACATAGAAAAAAAAGCAATCTAACTTTATTTTTTAAAATATTCTAAGGGTCTCCATGCGTTTTTCATCTTGTGAACATTGTAAAATATTAATATTTTTTAAATGAATACAAAAAGTACTAAACACCATCTTCTTACAGCAATTGTTACCAGTTGGAAACATTTTAGTGTCCACAGCTGTACATATTATTCTCCCAAGTATTTAGCAGCTTTTCATAGTACAGTTAGTTTCATAACAAATGGCACTTATCCTATATATTATTTCAATGCTTCAATTACTTATACGTCAACTTGAAGCAACTTACCCGGACTGTACGTCGGGAGCTACGATGGGAGCGCTGTAGGCCAGAGGGAGACCATAAGGGGCAGCGATTCCAACGCTGTAAGCCTGGGGCAAGACAACGCCGCCGTAGGAGATGGCAAAGAGAGCGAAGATGGTAACGAATATAGCCTGGAAAAAAATACTTTCTCGTTATTTAACTTTGCTGTCGGAGCAAGTTTTTTCAAGTTGTTTATTTCAGATAAATGTAGCACCTAAGGGGACAAAGTGGTTATTTTACACAACAAAGGGAGATACGTTTTATTTACTGAATTTTATTCAGTGGTGCGCCCTCGGAGATAATTGGGTTAAGCAGGTGCACAATTAGAAGAAAATTAAGGAAAGAGGGTGACGAAGTAATCGATATTTGTGTTTCACGATAAACGTTTACTCGAGGCTTAAGGTCAATTTGCATAGGTATTTCAAAAGTTGAACAAAACATCGGGCTACTATTCGCAGCAGTTACAAAATCGTGTCTTCAAAAGTTTTTCTTTTGTCCTCAATTTTTTGTCTAACGCCTATTCTCCGAATTATCATAAATTTCCAAACAACGAATTCCTCATTACTGTTATTGCTATTATTAGTACATTCCCATTACGATAATTTATTAGAGACATCTGACATTAATTGCATATTTTCCAAATTACCATCTATTTACTAATTGTATGTGTTTAGCTATAAGAAAATTGAATACATAAATAAAAATAAAAGTCGCTTTATGTGGCACGCCATAATCATTAGGATAACAGGATGTAATTTTCGGACACAATGAATTATTTCATTTTTTAGAATGTCTAATTTCGTGGGTGGACAGTATTTTATCCACGAAGTTTTTATGACGCTCGATCTATGGGCAGTCTCTAATTATACCTATGATCGAGTCACTTCTGACAGATTTATTAACTGTCATAAAACTTTAAATTTAAACAGATAAACATAGCTTACCGTGTATTTTTATATATAAATAAACTGTAAAAAAATTGTTTTATTCTAAAAATCGAGAAATTACAGGAATTGGCAAATTATGGTCTCATTATAGAATTTAGAAATTATTGTCTAAAATTATAATTTATACGCAGATTCTACAATTTACCAGTTATAATCAGCAGTCAGTAATTGGCTAATTTTTCATCTCCAGGCATCTAGATTTTAAAATAAAATAGAAATTTCATTAATAGTTTAAGCCTGCATTATAAATCGATCAAATTTGGACTGCAAATGTTACCAAGATAATCATAGGTAGTTAAATATATAATAAAAACTCTCTCAAAAGATTTTCACAAAAATTTTAGAAAGGTCTCCTGGCTCATAGGGGGCCACACCGTATATTTTTCATAGTTAGTACAAATCATCACACTTTTTATGCTTTTTAAGCTAATAATAATAATATTGTGAAAAATGAATTTATTGCAACTCACCTTCATATTGAGACAAGTGTATACCTTTTTCGATACTGCGAAAAACTGTATTAACTGAAAGATCAACCTGATCTCGGTTTATATACCGATGTGACAAACGGCTGCTGTTTGGGCGGTTCAGGTGTAGAAAAACACGAAAAACCTGTCAAAAAAAATGTAATTCAGGAAGGAGCCTTGGCATTAATATGGCACCGTTGTGTTTATTTAATCAGGTCGTTTCGGGCGTGGCGGATCGCGCCTTCCGACAAAAAAATTGTTTACAATGCATTGCGAAGATAAGTTTGGGTGGTCAGTTAAGGAACGCGAAATATTTTTCGCTTCGTACCCAAACTGCATATTATCATAAACGAATGCATTTAATTTATGTACTAACGAACGTGACCAACTGATTGTAATTTACTTTTATAAAGAAGCAACTGTTTAAATGTATAGGGGCTAACAAAATTAGTATAAAACATGTCACTTCAGTAGTGATAACCTTTCAGAGATGATTTTTACTTCAATATTATTATTAAGCCAACGGAAACATCAATTTTTTTGTGAACTTCTGAGCGTAAAGAGATACCAAGCTTCCTTTCTGTGTAACATTCAAATCAAACCGTTCATTGTTCTAGCAGCAAACCGAGGTCAACTTGGCGATTTATTTCGAGGAAGTATCTCGATATTTACATAATTCACAAATGAAGTGGCTTCTTTAAAGGCTGATTTATTAAAGCAAAATCTAAAATAAAAATTGTTGCATTACATTGAAAACGGTTAGACCTATCGAAAAGTATCCTTCATATACCTTGAAGTTCTTTCACTGCCCTTTGGTCTCTGTGATGTCTGCTCGTATCTACTATCCTACTTTAGATAGCTGAAACACGCTCAGCTTTGGTAAGCCTGAGTTGCATCATACCTTTATAACAATAGGTTATGCTACTAATACTTTGGCTTAGTTTTTCACCACAGTTTTGAATAAAGTGAATAAAGGCAGTTTTAACAGTTCTTTCGACTACAAAGTTCTTGTCTTTTCATATATTTTAGTTCACTGGATACACATAAATTGGTCTCCAGAATTCTAGTAATTCGAAAGTGTGGCGATTTTTGACAGTCACAAGGAATAGTTACTTGTTTTATGTCGCTAAAATGCATTATTTAAAAAAATTTATTGCACACCTTATATAAAGGATACTTAAGGAACAAGCTATTTAGGTCAAGATTACCATCGTAAACACGAATTTACACCTGACAACGAACCATCACGGTTTCGAAGCCAAATAATTGTGGATTTCGGCAAGGTGCGTCTGAAATTCCTGGGCCGCGTCATTACCGAAAATGTCACTGGCCTTCCTTCCAGCAGGATCCCTGCATAAGTTGTGCAGCACGTGCGACGAATGTTAAGTATGCACATACGTTTACCTCCCAGTAGGGGAAATTGTAATAAAAGTTGGTACGGCTCCTCCGCCGCGTGTAATACTGCAGATGTATCCATAAAATATGAAAAGTTTTTCTGACGGTTACCGTAAAAAGTAAAGGGTACTCCGGGATAACTCGGAGATTAGTCGTTAAATTACTGCACATCCGCTATACGGGGCGCGTTTTGAGGTTGAAGACGAGACGTCGCGTATTTTGCAGAGTGGAAAGTTGGTTTATGGTGAGAATTATCTCAGAGTTAATGCTCCTGAAATGTACATGTATACTAACATCAAAACTTACTTTCTGGTACTGATTCTATTTGTTGTTTCATGAAAAAAGAAACAGTGAAGTATAATCATGATATTAGAGGATTCAAGAGGACTTAGAAATATGTTTTAAATTTTAATTAGTATGTTTAAATTTCAATGAGAAGTTTACGAAATTCCAGTCATTCCACTAGGATTTTTATTCCAATTCAGTTATACCTTAACTCTGTTCCAAATGTCGTTTATGCGTTTATCAGAAGAAGGTTACACACGAGTTAAATGAAGGTCTAGCCAAGTAATAATTTTCAGTTGAATCAAAGCAAAGGTTTCAGTTCGATTGATATTTTTTAGACTTCCAGGAAACTGGAGATTAAAGCTCTTTGGCCGAAATTTATATGTGCGTTTCTCTATTTTTCTTATCGTTTGTATTGCCTACTACTGCTTTGATGGCTACTCAGTATATTGAGTTAGAGCACTTAGGTCCCATTGGGCCCCTTGTATATCCTCCCAGCGAGAGATCAGCTCAACTGAGCCGTCAATCAACCTATCAAAGATAAAAAGGTGCTCAGGGGGATCTCTCTGATGTAGACCAAAGAATTTTAATCAGTTCTCTCCCTCTTTGTTCTATTATAGTTTTGATATATTTAAGTCTGTCGAATGCCCAGTGTCTGCTTTGTTCTATTACTGCTCTTTCTCTGCGTTTAGATCCCTTAGATGACTTATGTTCTTTTAACCTTATACTAACGTGTATCAACATGTTTCTTTCTTGGAGTACAGCTCATCTCTTAGAAAAAGCTGTCTCTGTCTTCTATGAGGTTGATATACATAGATGGTATTGATATATTATGCTTTCGTAAAAGTTGCCTATTTTAACAGTACCTTCTCAGATTGTGGCCAAACTATTTTTATCGATCTTAGGTTTCCTTAGGTTTCTCTTAATATATTCCTCTTCTGAGCTGATCATAGTCTCGACATTTTGCTCACAAATACTCAGTTTCTCTTTCTTAGAAACTCTTTGTACATTTTGTAGTACCTCATTCAGAAGTGACACTTTACTGATGAATAAAATAACCAAGATTTTTCTAAACAAAAGGATTTTATGGATTTGAAATCATAGTAGATTTTGTTTCGCAACAAGTAGAGCTGAATCACCTAAAGGTTATATTTCAACAATTGAACATACGCTAGTATTCATTATCCTTACCGTACAAACCCCCATATTCTGAATTATGAATTCAGAATTGACTTCAAGCATTTATTTAATTTCCCGAGACGACATTATATGCGAAATTAAAATTAATTACGTTTATTCAAACTGCTTGCCAGACAAGCGAGACGTATTTGCGGCGTGAAGTTTATTTTCCTTCTACAATATGAGAATTATTGTTCGGAGTAAATAAGCGACATTGAGTTTCAGAATCTCCATTAAATGGATACGGCATTAACTCCCTTATTTGATTATCTAAAGTGACTTTAATCCGGTTATTCATCTCGTGTACCAACACACTTGTCGGGACGTATCAAAATTTTGATGCCTTGTCCCGATATTTTAATTATAATTCTGAAGCGGGCGGACACACAAGAAACAGGATAGGAAAATGTCGTGTATTTATTTTTCCCGTACGTCTGTTTTGGGAAGCACGCCATTTACTCCCGAAATACTCGTAACCAGCAGGCACTGCACAGAGGTAATTGAAGTTGTCGGACTCTGCTCTCGATATAAGTTTTGGATGTCTATGATCCAGCTTAGATTGGCTATTAAATTGTATTTCAATGGTATTGTGAATGATCCGACTTTCAGTACATTTAAAAATGTAACGATTAATTAAGTTATCATTATCAAATCACCAATTAAACAGGATTTTATCTCTGGTCAAACCTCAGTCATTTCATACAGTATGTATATGTATTTGACAAAGCAGGTATCTATATTATAAATAATAATGTATTGAATATATAAATATTTAAATAATTCGGATTGTTTCGGATACATCAATAAATCTGTTCAAAGCTAATCAGTATTCATTAGCGGACATTAAATAAATTACTATATGATCATTAACTTTTATAGTAAGGTTTTTTCAATGTTTACGTGATAAATGTTCCATTGTTAATATTCTAATTGATAGACGGGGAGATCGGTATCGCTTGAGCGTCAATTGAAATGATGTTTATTGTGTATAGGTGGTATTAGTGTTGACTGCATATCACAAATGATATTTTGGTATGTCAGATGATACTTAAAAATGTTCATTATCAGATTGTTATCAAGTGAACGATTACGAACGGAATTGTTCAATAACTTTTGAGAAGCAGGAAAGGAAGCTATAAAGCACTTTTGCAACTCTTTTTCACGTTTGTCAAACTCAAACCACAAATGTTGTGCTAAAGACAAATAAATAGCAAAAATAATCATTTCAAAACTGACTCGGCTTCACGAAATCTGAAATTACTAAAAAATTTTATTGCTGAAGAGAAAAAAAAATTAAAAAAGGCTACAAATAAGTTCACACCACATATTCAATCATGTTGCAATATCTCGTACATTAAGCTGCAAATAAAAATGTTTCAAGAGTGGAAAAAGTATAAGAAATAATATAATTGAATCAAACATAGTCCTGCGCAAAAATGTACTAGGGTAATGAGTTCTAGAATCCCAGATTTCTCCGTTTGCGAGTTTCCTTTTTAGTTACTATCTTTTCTTTTAAATTTTTCTAAAGGAAATTTGTTAAGATACGCTTTTTAAATGTGTGTAACATTCTACTCAAATAATTTCATTAAATGTTGAAAATAAAATTTTTAACTGTGATGTCAAATAAACTGACAAATAATGATATAGGTAAGTATACACTGTAAGTGAAAGCAATAAAGGTTCGGAGTGAATTCACTGAATGAAATTATTGAGTAGGTACATTTTCACTCAATATCGAGCATTTTGATCATTTACTTTCACTCAAATATAGGTACCCGTTAAATAAATTCTGCAGAAAAACTCGTATTTGATGCACTTGTAGCTAAATCGGAGTAAATGTCCTAATTGTTGAGGTACCCCACCCAATTCTATGGTTGTCGTGCGTTGTCTTTGTCTATTCCCATCGTCCCCATTAGGTCCTCTCGTGGCGTGGTGTATGGCGTGTAGTGCAGGACAAGTGTCCATTAATCAGGTTATTTTGATGAAAATTATGTTTTAAATGCAGTGGTTTGATTGCAATAATTAAAAACAATAATAGGTATATTGAGTTTTGATTAATATTTGATTAAATACACAGATAGATTGTTACCTATATTTATTTACGCATCTGTAACGTATAATATAGGTTATGGCAATCTATTCGTTCGATTAGTTAACCAATTCTTTTAATCAAGGCCTAAAATA